TTTGCACTGTGGGAGTCGGGACAAGACTCCTGGACTCTATCCCAGCAGTGATCCCTCCAGAATAGGTGGAGCAGAGATAATCCCTTTGCCAGCTGATCTGGGAAAGGGCGGGGAGCCAGCTGTGTGGGAAGATGTTGATGGTTTGATGATAGCTCTGGCATTTCTCTCAGTCTGCGTCTTCCCCTTCTCTGGCTGCTTTACTCGATGTACGCTGGTCCTGCGGGTAGAATCTCAGCTCCCCCCACTCTGGGGTTTGGATCCCATAGCCCGGCGAGAGAGAGGATCCCAGGACGAAGGAGAGAAAAGAGTGACAGAGAGTGAGAGAGGAGAGAATCTCACCCAAAGGTATCAGGGAAATGGGGTATGCGTATGTGTGTGTGGGGAAATGGTACTGGAAGCTGGGCTGAGCTGAGACAGAGAGCATGAGGGAATGAGAAAAAAAGACTGGGGGATCTTGGGGTCAGGGACTGCCTCTCACTGTGCATCTGCGCAGTGCCCGGGGAGACGGGGACCCTGATCCTGGCCTGAGGGGGGTGGAGGGGCGTCTGCGCAGTGCCCGGGGAGACGGGGACCCTGATCCTGGCCTGAGGGGGTGGAGGGGCGTCTGCGCAGGGCCCGGGGAGACGGGGACCCTGATCCTGGCCTGAGGGGGGTGGAGGGGCGTCTGCGCGGTGCTCAGCACAATGCTGGGCCAGATCTCGGTTTAGGGAGGGAAAATTGATGCAGAATCTGGAGCCATTGGGTCCCGATCTCGGTCCAGGTCTGTAGGTATGGCCTACAAAAATTATTACAATAATGGGAAGAATGAATGAAACAAAGGAAAGGAAGAAGAAGGCAAATTGAAGAGAAGAAGGGAGGGAGAAGGAGAGAAAGGAAGTTTAAATGGGAATTAATTCACAGCTGGACTCTGGCCTGTGGCATACAGGAGTCAAACTAGATGACCCCAATGGTCCCTTCTGAACTTAGAATCTAGGAATCTAAGGGCTTGTCTTGAAACGCGGAAGTGTCACAGCTGTAGTTCCTCGGTGTTGACACGACTGACGCCTACGGGAGGGGTTCTCCTGTGGACCTAGTGAATCCACTTCCCCGAGAGGCGGCAGCTAGGTGGAGAGAAGATTTCTGGCTTTGACCTAGTGCTGTTTACATCAGAGGTTAGGTCGGGTTAACTACGGCACTCAGAGGTGTGCGGCTATGCTGGTGTCAGGTCTCAGTGTAGCCCAGCCCTGGGAAGGAAAGAAAGAAAGAACCCAAAGGAATGAAAGCTCGCTAGCTACCTCTGCTGCAGGGGGCATGTGGGTTGTGTTGTCATCCCCTCCTTGTTCTCCGTGTCACTCCACACCATGCCTGTCTCCCGCCAGATGATCATTATCTCAACGCTGGTGAGCCTCCTGCAACCGGTGCTGACGGCGTTGTCGGGGGCTGTGCTGTGGCAGGGCCTGGAGCACTGGTATTTCCTGCTGGGCCTGCGCTTGCTGGCCATGTACTTTGCCAGTTCGCCGTGGGAGAGTGCACACCAGGATATGGCGTGTGCCTGGAGCCCCGGCCAGGAGGCGGAGACCCGGACCTTCTGCACCTCGGTCTGCTACAACCGCCACTTCCTGGACCCTGTCAGGCCCACCTGGGGCTTCTCCTTCCTCATTGCCCTTCTCCCCATCACCATCATCAGAATGCTGTACCCCAAAGAGGATCCTCACGGCAAGGGGGGGCAGGAGGTCACAGCGACGGCCACATGCAACAAAGCCACCGAGCACAGGTTGGCGGTAGAATCCTACATGGCTGCCAGACCCAAGATGGGAGGGGAATCCAACATGGCCACTAAATCCAACATGGCTGCCACGGTCCGGCCGGTGGGAGACTCCAACATGGCCGCCATCCCCAAGCTGGTTGGCGCAACCAATGTGGCTGCCAGAGACAACACGGTTGGCATCAGTGCTGTGACCAGGTTGTCAGCAGGACCCAACATGGCCGCCTTCCCCAAGCTGGTTGGCGCAACCAATGTGGCTGCCAGAGACAACACGGTTGGCATCAGTGCTGTGACCAGGTTGTCAGCAGGACCCGACATGGCCGCCCGGCCGCTCTGGCATGCTGGAGTCTTCACCGTGTGCATCGCTGTGCTGCTGGCTACCGAGATTGGCTTCTTGTGGGCCTTGCTGGCCCGGCAGCTGCCCATGGTGTCAGGAGTTTTCTTCCGCTGCTTCCCCAGTACCCCGGCCTGTCCCCCTGCCCTCGAGTGCGCCGTGCGGGGCCAGGCCGACAAGCACATGGCTCTGGTCATCCTGGCCCTCACAACCTGTGTCAGCATCCTGATCTGCCTAGGCTATGGGGGCGTGTGGCTAGGCCGGGCCACCTGTTGCCATGGGAGACAGGAGCGGGAGTGTGCCCCAGAGGTGGGACGCATGAGGGAGGGGAGTATGTGCTGTGATGGGTGTCAAGAGGGTGAGATGGGGGAAGGCAGGGTGCTGAGGGGGGACTGGGAGAGTGGGGAGTGGGATGCCGGGCCGGGCGTGAAGGGGGAACGGAAGGACTGGGGAGAGGTGGACAGGGGACTAGAGGATGAGAGGGGGGACCAGGAATTGAGCCTCTTGGGAGGAGAAGGGAGGGGGCTGGGTAGGGGGGCAGAGGTGTAGGAAGGGAGTAGGGATGGAGGGGGGAATGGGTGTGGGGACTGGGGGGCTACAAGGATTGGTCTGAGGTGGAAGGAAAGGGGGTGGGTGGATGGGAGTGGAGGCAGGGGGAAATATTGTGGGACGGGCAGAGAAAAATATTCAACAAGCTCTTTTTGGGGGAGAAAATGTTGTGACTGGCTACAGATATCTGTGTCTTGTGGTCCGGGAAGGACTCAAAGGTTCACAATACAATTTTCGAAGGGTCTGAAATTATTCTAGGGAAAATGCTCCGTTAGCCAGGGTTACTAGGGCCAGGATTTCCAAGGCAGTTTCAGTGGCATGGGCGGGACTGGAGAAGTGTGTTTGTGGGGGGCAAGGCTGGCCCAGCCCCCCATTGGGGAGATGTGGCCGGACCAGATGTGTCAGGTGACAGCCTGCCACATGGGGTCCTAACGCTACAGAAATGTGGCTCCCTCTGAAGAGGCTCTGTCATTATGATACCCAGCTCTGGTCAATAGCTAATGGGGTCCCCCTCTTGTACCCCGCCGAGTGCAGGTCATGAACAGTGGGGGGAATGATCCTTTGGGCTCTGGTCTCCAGAGCCCCTGCTAATCCCCTTAGTCCATGAGTATCCATGTAGGTACCTACCTACATCTTCATCTGGGTGGACTCTGCAGGATGGGAGTGTGATCTTGTGGGTTACAGCAGGGCGGCTGGGAGCCAGGACTCCTGGGTTCTCTCCCCAGCTCTGGGAGGGGAGTGCAGTCTAGTGTTTCAGAGCGGGGGGAGGGGGGAGAAGACAGGACTCCTAGGTTCTCTGGGGGTGGAATGGAG